GCCTAGGATAATTTTTAAGAGGGGTTTTTTAGAGGGTTTTTAATTACTTTTTAATTAGACAATTTAAATATTTCATTTTAATTAATTTTAACTTGTGATTGTTAGTGGTGTTTTTAATTGATTGTCAGCCGCCCTGAGTCCGCAAGGAGAAGGGCGGGATATAAATTCAAATAATAAATAAATAAAATAAATAAATAAAACCCTTGGAACATTCCCAGAAACTCTTGCCAAAATTTTGAAGTGAATTGCACTCCACGATTGCAGATTATTCATTGCAAAGAGCCATGCAATCTATAGACATGGTGAATGAACAACTTAGCCAAGGTGTGGGCGGAAGGAACTTTTTGCTGACTCAATTTAACAGGGACCGTTTGAAATAGAAAGATTAGCTTAGGTAAGGTGTTCATCTTAACGGTCGCTATCCTTCCTAGCAATGATAATTGAAGATTTTTCCATTTCTCCAAGTCCGCTTTTATTTGTTTTAGTAATCTCTCATAGTTGTCCTCTTTTACTGTTGTATATTTTGATGTTAAATGGATACCTAAATATTTAACTTTTTTAGCTATTTGAAGATTTGTCTTTTTAGCAAGTTGGATTTTTTGTTTGTTAAGTTTTTTGTTAATACTTTAGTCTTTTCCCTATTTATTTTCAGCCCTGCCACTTCTCCAAATTTCTCTGCGAAGGCCTGTAATTTATATTTCTGGTCTTTTATCTCCAATCCTTTGATCTCCATGTCTTGCCTAATATTCCTAGCCAACACTTCCTGTGTAAGAATAAATAACAAGGGAGACAATGGACATCCCTGTCTTGTGCCTCTTTTGATTTCAAAGCTGTCTATGTAATTTCCATTTAAAAGTATCCTTGCTGATTGTTTATTATAGATTGCTTAAATTGCATTTATAAAGTTTTCACCAAACTCCATCTCCTTCAACTGTTAGAACATAAATTGCCAATTGAGGTTGTCAAAAGCTTTTTGTGCATCGAGAAATATGAATGCCAACTGTTTCCCCGGATGGTTTTTGTAGTATTCCAAAACATTTAAAATGATCCTTAGATTATTTTTTATTTGCCTTTTAGGCAGAAAGCTATTTTGGTCCGAGTGGATAAATTCAGTCAAAAATTTCTTCATTCTTTCCGCCATTATTGCAGTAAATATTTTGTAATCCACATTTAATAACGATATTGGTCTATAATTTTTGATTTGTGTAAGATCAGTATCTTCTTTGGGTATGAGGGAAATATTGGCTTCTATCCATGAATTTGGTATTTTTATCTCTGAAAGAGTTTTGTTACAAAGGTCTTTCAAGATCGGGCTTACTATGTCTTGTAGAGCTACGTAAAATTCTGCAGGGAGACCATCGGGTCCCGGAGTTTTATCCTTCTTTTGCCTTTTTATCGCCTCTGTGATCTCCATTGTTATCTTCTCGTTTAACACGTATTGCATATTCTCTGATACCTTTGGGAGATTCGCTTCTTTTAAATAGTCCTGTATTGCCTCATTGAGACCACCTCAGTCTTATAAAGTGTCTCATAGTAAGCTTTAGTAATTTTTTTTATTGCATCATTGTGGCAGTGTAATTGGCCCTTTGAGTCTTGTAG